CGCCGGGACGCAAACTCCAGTAGGCATTCCACCAGAGTCGGGCATCGCTGGTTAGCTGAAGTTGTGCGCATAACGCGATAGTGATCTGGACAATCCATGACCTCGAAAATTAATTCAAGGCCCTGAATCCACTCGTCCACAATTAGAGGATCTCCCTGACCGGAGAATTTCTCAGGATGATAGTCGCAGAACTGTGCGACTACTGTGGCCTGGGGGACATCCGGACGATCGGGTTCCCTACGGGGCGGCATATGATCATTGAAAAAGTTCAACATTCATTGAACACATGAATAATACTTTAACTGATTACTAAAGCACACGGATCTCTTGACGAGTTGCCAAACACGGCTGGAAAATACGGACATTAATCCTGAGGAAATCTAGAGTTAGATCTGAGTATACTGTACTATAGGTTCTGAACCTTATTCGAGCATCTTAACTAAGTCATGATCAATAAATTTCTGAGCATAGACATAGTAAATTGTTTACAACCTAAAAACATAAATCAACACTTACCTGTACTCGACGAGGCGTGAGCGTGACGGTTCAGGTTTTCGTAATACTTATGACTCGCAAAATTATCAGAGACGCAGAAACGTGCTCTGATACCAATTGTAACACCCCGCTATTTCATGAAAATCAGAGCGTGATTTTCGCAAAACTTTTCTAAATAAAAGCATTTATTTTGCGAAATACTGATTCGGAGTGTTACCGTAAAATCTGACTTTATCTGAAAACCGTTATTTTAGTTTAACAACAAAACAGTTATATAACATAATAACCGACTAACGTCGGATCAAAAGCTGGTTTCGGTAAAACATGATTATACATATATACAAATATCCTGAACCGGTCGCCAGCTCACTCCTCGACCCCGACCCTGTGACCTGAAAAACATGAATAATGTGGGGGCGTGAGCACTAATCCACTGTGCTCCGCAGAAACTCATACTAAAGTAAACAGTGAAAATAATAACAATATCATGATCCTGGCATATATAACTGAAATGATACTAAACTGAAACTGAAACTGATACCGGTACTGAATAATCATGATCTGATACTGATATCGTGATAATCATCACCTGACTGCTAACTGAACATCTGCCAGCATAAAAATGTCGGACACCATGTGCACACTCTAGTGGGCAGACTAAGGCCACTAGAACCCATAATAGACCGGCGACCATTCCGAGCGGATACTGATA